GCCTGCGTCCTGCCTCAACAAAGTGATGGGACAGACTTGTTTGACTTCCCAGGGGAGGCCTTACCCTCTCTGAGGAGTGAATGGGGCGTGGGGAAAGCAGGAGGAGAGGAGGGAGGGGAAACTGGGATTGGTATGTAAAATATAAATTAGAAAAAAAGAAAGTCCATCTTAGATCAGAAGTAAATGGGGAATTTGCTGGCTTTTGCTTGAGGAGCATGTGGGTGTGGCTGGCTGTGGCTGCTAGCATATGCATCAGTCTTAGAAACAGAAACAGTTTCTGATGACTCCTTTATTATAGAAGACCATTCAGTTCCCCATTGCTCTGTGGACTGCAGTACAGAGCCTGACCCTGGGCTAGTTATGCGAGCTGAGTGGTTATTGCAGGACAATCATTCAAACTTGCCAAGGGCATTTTCATGTGAACTTTGCCAGCAATTTCTTGATAAGAATCTCATAAAGCAAGATCTCCTCACTGCCCCGCCCCATACACACATCCACGTAGACTTGGCCTTCTCTCGGTGTGGCTTCTCTGGTGGTATATTCCACCAGGCAAGGAGAGAAACTATTTTTAAGACTTGCATCTGCACTGAACATTCACAGCTTTTATACTTTCCTTTATTCCCTAAACGGTGCTGTATAACTGTTGATTTATCGTTTGTAAATAGTTTGGCTTTATAGGCTGTCTAGAGTTGATTTAGCATAGACAGCAGGATGTGAGTAGGTCATATGAAAACACTACACCATGTTATTTAAGGATTTGAGTGTAATGTTTTCATGGGATCCTGGAACCAGTTCTTCAAGGACACCAAGCTCATATGGTCCTCAAAGTTGCTGTGTAGCCAAAGATGACCTTAACTTCCTGATCCTCTACCTATATCATCCAAGGACTGGGTTAGAGGCACGAATACAATGCCCAGCTCTGTCTGTCTGTCGGTCTGTCTGTCTGTATGTCTGCCCCCCCTCTCTCTCTCTCTCTGTATGTGTATCTGTCTCTCTGTCTGTCTGTCTATCTATCTATTTATCTACCTACCTACCTACCTACCTGTGCTGGCTAGTCTTATGTCAGCTTGGCACACAAGCTAGAGTTATCTGAAAGAAGGGACCCTCAATTGAGAAAATGTCTCCATACGATTGAGCTGTAGGTAAGTCTATAGAGCATTTTCTTAATTAGTGTTTAATAGGAGAGGGCCAAGTTCATTATGGGTAGGGCCATCCCTGGGCTGGTGGTCCTTGGTTCTGTAAGAAAGTAGGCTGAACAAGCCATGAGAGCAAACCAATAAACAGTGCCCTCCATGGCCTCTGCATCAGCTCCTGCCTCCAGGTTCCTGCCCTGTTTGAGTTCCTGCCCTCAATGCTGAGATGATGAACTGTTACATGGAACCCTTTCCTTCCCAAGATGCTTTAGTCATGGTGTTTCATCACACCAATAGAAACCCTATCTGTTTGTCTGTATCATCAATCATCTATCTATCATCTATCAATCTATCATCTATCCTATCTATCTATCTATCTATCTATCTATCTATCTATCTATCTATCTA